TTAGAAAAGTTTGCTATTACACAGATTGTCTAACATTTTCTGGCAAAGTATTAAACTAGGTTATTTAATTCTAAGCTCAGAATAACTATATATAACAGTTAACTATATATTCAGAAAGATGTCAGTCTGTCTTACACTTGCAATTATCTCACTTTTCCTCACTTTACTGAGATTTTTCTGCACCAGCTAAAATTTGTTTATTACTCTAGACATTTTCTAATATCAAGAAATGATCTTTATACACACAGAGCTGTCGAGCATCCATTTTAACACTCCTTACGTCGGGCCCAAGTGATTGACATCTTTACAACATTCATAACTACAGACACAATAGTGCGAGTATCTCTATGTCAGAATGGTTTTGGTAATATTAGCTATTTCCTTATAAGGTAATATTAGCTATTTCCTTATAAAGTAACGTTCGTCATTCATTTTTATAACAGCCAATTCTACTTTCTATTGAAATTTATAAAATCTTTTTATTAAAACAATTTGTCAGGTAAAAAAAAAGGTTTCTACATTTCAGATGCTGCAATCTGTCTTTCTAATATTGATGAGGCAGTGGTTCCTTCCTAACTTTTTCTTTTAGAGTAACATGTGCTATCCGGTTTACCATTTGCTGTTGCTAAAATCTCTTAAGTGATGAGGATTTTGTTTAGTATAATTCTTTTTTCGTGATTCTGTAGCGCCAAACTACAGGCATTATTCGCTAGAGACCATTTTTTATTATCGATCTGAAAATTACACACATCTGACAGTTTAGATATTTGCAAACGATTTGCGCGCATAAACACACAACGCGCATGCGCAAAATTCAAAATATAAAATGGCGGCCATACATGACATTCATACAAAAATTTGGATCTGACATGACTCGAGTTCTTAATGTTTCTGTTTTGCAGCCACTGCCGATGTTTGGCAAAATTAACCTTATGCAACCTATTTACTATAGTAAATTTGTTATACCTTAAGTATTCACCGAGATATTTGATGTGTTTAATATTTATTAATTCCACAGCCATTTCTATGAGAAAGGATAGTTATTTCATAATTTACGGAAAAAACGAGGCATTCTATAGAATATTTAGACATTCGCTTAAAATCCCTAAGTAAAGCAATATTTATAGTAATGTTCACTCAATAAAAGTCTCGAGAGACACTCAAGGTAGAGGATTAATATTATTTTTTAATGATGCAGTAGTTGTGTGATATGAATTAAGAAGAGCGATAGGAAGTGATGATTATGAGGATAAGGTGGATGGATTTCGATTGACCCTTGACCTGAAGAAGTTAAGATTGTAGAGTATAGTGTTACTTTTAAAATGATTTTAAGTAATGTATGGTTTGATATGACTGAAGACGAGATGGTAGGAAGTGAACGTTATGAGGATAACAAGGATGGATAAATATTGCGCCTTAACCCGAAGAAAATAATATTAAAGCGTTCAGTGAAGCAACAACATATAACTAAAAAGTGTCTGAATAGAATATTCTTCTTTAATTTAGAATATGGGGAAAATAAGGATGATTCGATCCTTTAGCAGTGGAATGGAGTGTACTAACTGTAAAGGTCTGAAATGAAGAACTAAAGAATGAAGTTCAGCTGAACATTTGCTTTTGTTTGTTTGTTTGTTTAGCGGCATATTGAGTCCTTATGGGTCATTTAATACCGAAATTTAATTTTCTTAGGAGTATAAGTAATTTCTTTTACAAAAATGTATTGCTGGAATTTTCTTTTACTATGAAAAAGTATTGCTGGTATTTTTACTATAAAATTTATTTCTATGCTTTCATAGTGTTTTGTCTTTGTTTTCGGTTTTACTATATGGGACCCTAACAGGTGCTACTTGGGAACAATAGTAATTAAGAGGTGGTTCTACATCCTCAAAACCACCCGACTAGAGGTCTTCCTACCAGTTGTAGTCTATACTAATACTCTTGTGGCGTCATCCCTCTAATGAAGCTATTTTGGACTCACTATAAAGTTAGTGGGGAAAGTAGACCTCACGGAGAACAATGATCTAGACTGAACGCTGGTCAACCGACACATACTCCAAAGTCGTGTCACACTCTTCTTTTGTATTTACTGTTCAATACAATATTTATCTGCAAACTCTTGTTTTTTTATTGCTTAACTATTTACTTGGTCACAACATGTACACAGAACTTCTGAGCATTTGCCATGCAAACGTTGCGAGGTTGAGAAGAAATCTTCAAAGTGGGGAATGATTCTCCCCACACGAGACTGCGTAAAAGATTTCGAACTCTGTCAAGGCTAGAAACTAATTATGTTTGTAAAAAAAAGAGGTAGCTTAAGGGCCAATATCTACACTCGAAAATATTCAACTTTTACGGAAAGGAATATTCAAGAAACTGGTATAAACACCATTCAGACCCGGTTACTTAGCTGTAGCTATTATATGGGACTTCATAACATACACAGACAGAATATTCAAAGCTAATTGCCCTGAAATCGTGATCAAAGGCAAAAAAATAAAATAGAATGCGCTTTCTTATTGATAGCAGTACCTGCAGACTTTAATATATATATATATCTATTAATATATTAAATAAGCTTTCAAAATACAAGGATATTGAAGTGGAAATCTAAAACATGTGGCACATCAATAATTCCAGTAGACCTCAGGGAGAACAGTGATATAGTTTTGAAGACTTTTGGTATGGTTTTGTAAGACAGTTGTGATTGATATAATCCCCTGCCTCCTTCGGATCTGGACACTTAAAAACGATTAACATCAGCCTTGAGATGATACATACGGCGACAAGTGAGATGCTTTCTCGTTTTGGCACCTATTCCCTTCATGTCAGCTATGGTCCAATTAAGGTTGAAACTTTATTACAACACAGAGACAGCCAAAGTGTTTATGGCTGATATTCTGTTTTGTGGATTCAAGTCGGTATTTAACACCAGATGCAAACGTATTTAGTATTCTTTTCTGACTTTCTCTTTCATCTAATTAAGCTCTATTCGATCTTCGCAGACTCATAGGTATTTATAGACTTCTTGTTCCAGTTCCCTAATCTTTGTGACAAAATCTATTAAATGTGTTTCTGTAATTGTCCCTTTCTTGAATGTTACTTTTGCACATTTATCTAATCCGAAACCCATACCGATGTCATCACTGAAACATTTTACAGTATTGAGGATACTCTTCAACTTCTTGTCGTCTTTGGCAAAGAGTTTGATATCATCCATGTAGAATAGGTGAATAAACAATTTCTTTTTTACTTTGTATCCATAGTTATTACTGTTTATTTCATGAGAAAAGGGATTAAGGAGACACAGAACAGAAGGGGCGACAGTGAGTCTCCTTGAAAGCTTTGACTTTATATCAAACAAATAAGACTACGAGGTTAGGGAGAAAAAATGAAGTACAAAGAACATGAGAAATAATTATGAAACGATGGAATGAGAACGTTGTTGTGGCATAACTGTTAATGGTTTAAAAGACAGAAAAATCTCGAAATAAAATGAAAGAAAGATAAGGACCAGAAGAAAGAAGGAAGGAAAAATGGAAAGGACGCAAAAAAGAAAAGAAAGAAGAAAAAAAGAAAAGAAGGGCGCAAAAAAGAATAGAAGGAAGAAAAAAGAAAAGAAAAGAAGGAAGGCAAAAGGAAAGGACGCAAAAAGGAAAAAAAGGAAGGAACAAAGAAAAAAAGGGCGGAAAAAAGAAAAAAAAACAGAAAAGAAAAGAGGGACGCGAAATAGAAAAGAAGGAAAAAGAAGGAAGGAAAAAAGAAAAGAAGGAAAAAGAAGGAAGGAAAAAAGAAAAGAAGGACACAAGAAGAGAAGAAGGACACAAAAAAGAGAAGGAAGGAAAAAGAAAAGAAGGAAGAAAAAAGAAAAGAAGGAAGGAAAAAGAAAAGAAGGAAGGAAAAATGAAAACAAAGAAGGAAAAAAGAAAAGAAGGACGCGAAAACAAAACAGGAAAGAAAAAGAAGAGAAGGAAGGAATAAAAAAAGAAGGTAGGAAAAAAGAAAAGAAGGAAAGTAAAGGAAAAGAAGGAAACAAAAAGAAAATAAAGAAGGAAAAAAGAAAAGAAGGGCGCAAAAAAGAAAAGAAAGAAGGAAAAAGAAAAAAGGACGCGAAAAATAGAAAAGGAAAAAGAAGGAAGGAAAACGGAAAAGAAAGACGCAAAAAAGTAACGAAGGAACAAAAATAAAAAGAAAGAAGGAAAAAAGAAAAGAAAGATACGAAAAGAAAAAAGGAGGAAAAAGAAAAGAAGGAAAGACAAAAGAAAAGGAAGAAGTGCATTTCGTTATTAGTTTTTTTTTTTTATCTTTCCAGCGTTTTCGATACAATTTCCATTGGTTAATATGACATACGGTGCCAAGGGTCGTCTGATGTCTAACTCTGTAACTAAGCAAGCCAAACTCTGCTTTTTCGCGTCAGTGGCAGAAAATTTGCTGTTACAGGGAAACATGGTTTCTAGGCAAATATCAATTCCCTTCGTTGCCGAGATATAAAAAAGCAGACTCTTTGCCTTGAGCTGGTAAGTCTAAACGACAGGTTTCAAAGAAATGTAAAGAGTATTTTTTATATAGAATGTTTTTATATTTAAAAATAAGAATAAAGTTTCCATATTTATGTTTCCACATTTAAATCGAAGAACGTTGTTTCTTTTTTATATAAAGTGTCACCAAAAATGTTTGCTTATTCAATAATCCTGAAACTTCTGTCTCAGAGTGATAGTTCGATTGTTAGTAGAGCAAAGTAATGCCAATGACTTCAGTCGTTACTGTGCATCCCACATTTGTAGCCATTTACCAAAATAAACCGAGGTTAATAAATATCTCAAACCAGAACACATTAATCAAATTCTAACTAAATACTTAAGATTGCAGCAAAAAGACGTCATGGAACAAATATTCGAAGACTGATATGACCTTCTTGATAGCCAGTTTGATCAGGTTATGTCGAGCACATCATCATCAGCAGCATGATCGTCACCATTATTTTTGTTATTGCTTACTGCCACGCCACGTTGAAATATCGGTTTCTGTGCGATCTCCAAAGTTAAGCCACGCCGAGCCTGATCAGTACATAGATAAGTGAACGCTTGGGAATACCAGGTGCTTTAAGCCTGGATGTGAGGGTGGTGTAATGGATAATGACACGGAATTGTTAATATCAATTCCAGTTGGGATTCGCTATATTCACTTAGGCTCAAATACACTTGCGAAATGTATGAATCCACTTTTTCTCCCCAACTATGGGTTAACTAGTAAGACTTGTATCACTAAATCTTTATTATCTCTAAAAGAATTCTTACAATATTTTCTAAGCTTTAAATAGACTGCAAAGTGCTAATAAGTACTAGATATGTAGAAAACGTATCAATCACGGAAATTATCATTATTATTATTATTATTATTGTTGTTGTTGTTGTTGTTGTTGCGTAAGAGATCAGCAAGCCAACAAAAGTCACTTAGTACAAATATTGGAAGCCCAATATACACATCTTGAAGCCCAGTCTGATCAGGGTATAGCGAGCATATCATCATCATCATCATCATCAACATTATCGTTAATATTATTATTATTGTTATTATTATTATTATTGAGAGTGAAGCAAACAAACAAAAGTCTCTAGAGATATCCCCTATGTCGCTTTGGCTGTCTCTTCCTACAAATTAAAAAAAAAAAAAAATTATACCCAGACATGATGTTTCCCTGATTACTCCTGCTCATGAACAGAGATGCAGAGTGAGCTAAGTTCCTTATAAATATTCCCAACTGGTTTAGGTCAATCACCTGACATGTAAATCTGGACTGATATTTATTGAAGCCCATCTTAATTAAAAAAAGACAAAACATGTAAACCTGCAATCCATGAGAGCCATGGCGGCTGGTATAACATCAAGGCATTTATCATCATCGTCATCATTATTATTGTTAAATTCAAAACATAATTTAATAACATTTATTTAATTACTGTCGACAGAAACTAACTTCTAATTCTTCGTTTAGGGACGAACAGACATTGCGTATTCTCATCCTTTCTTGTTCAATATGTGTTCAGTCTTCATTAGCTGAACCGAAGCCAGATGATTGCTTTTCTGTTCTCAACTTAATTTTCCAGAAAGAGTTGTTTCAACAGAGTAAGGATCAAACTGGCCATTGAATTGATTTGTAAAATAAGTTTTCAAACGAATACGCCGCAGTAGTTACCCGTTGATAATTACTAAACTTACTTTCGCCTGACACAAAGCAAGTTGTGTGAAAGATTCAATAAGAATCGTTGCCAATTTTGTAATGTCAACGAATACTCTTTGTCACTTTCGTAATGCTCTTTATCGTAGAGACTGTGTAATCGCAGACCCAACTGTAGTGACGCCGTTGAACAATGCTGGTGTCAGACGCCTTCGAATAACACTTGGACTGATAGTACTTGCTCAAAAATACTCACTTCAAATCGTAACCGCCGAATAGCAATCCGTATAGTGATCTGTATAGAGAATAGTATAATGAATAGTATAGAGAATAGCGACCCGTACAGTAATAGATGATAGAGTAGAAATAGTGATCAAATAGTCTCCACGCTAATTCCCATATTTCTTTCTTTCTTTCTTTTTATGTGCCATGTCCTTTCAGGACGTCGGCGATCATGGCTCTCCACCTCCCTCTATCTCTTGCGGCTCTTAACAAGTTCCTTCCCTCTGCTTCTTCCCCCAGACCAGGTTCTGTCATCCACTTGCTTAAGCCCGCCAGGTAACTTACGCATTTTTTTCTCTTGTCTCTCTTTCCTTCTATTCGACTCGTGAGTATCAGTTTCTCTAGGCTTTACTTCCTCATTATGTGTCCTAGAAAGTTCAGCTACTTCTTCCCGATGTTAAGTATAAGCCTTGTTTGCATCCTCTCATCGTTGCTCACGCGCTCGGTCCATGATATCCTTAGCATCCTTCTGTAGAACCACACCTCCGTCGCCTCGAGTCTCTTCTTCATCTTTGAGGAAATCGTCCAACATTCGCTGTCGTAAAGAAGGACAGATGTCGCGTAACAGTTCAGTTATTCTTTTCTTTGTTAGGAAAGAAATCCTTCTATCTCACAGTACTCTGCCCAGATTTGGGAATATGTCCTTGGCCATCCCAATACGTCTACGGATCTCAGTGTCGCACTTACCGTCCCCTGTCAAAACGCTTCCCAGATATTTAAACTTCCGCGTCTGCTTGATTCTAGTGTTCCCGACCTGCAAATCGCATTTTGGGCTCATACTTTTGTTTTTGCAATATATGCATACAATTCACATATATGCATTTCCTTTACCATCACGTGATCTAATTCAAAATGGGACCGCCTGTATTTGCGCTCTGGTGATCTGTGTTCAAACTCCAGTGTCGGTAGCGACATTTTATTCCTATATAACACAAAATCGCCAAGAATCACTTGTTCGCGTTACGGTGAGAGTATATTTCTAATATTTAATTTATTTTTTCTTTCTGTTCCATGTGACAAATCAGAAAATAACAGAGGTTTGAACTGAATTCATTGTCAGGCAGGACTCTTTGTTCAAATAGAAGTTGATCTGTAGTGATGCCAACACACACTGATCCCATTATAAGAGATTACAATGTAAGCTTTGCACTCAGTATCACACCAGACTGCCAGAGGTTTATCGGAATCCTGAAATGGAACGTACCATCACAGGAACAAAATGCAGATTCGGCTTCAAAGGATATCAGTGGTTGCCCCCGAGGTAGCGTCAGTCATACTGATGAGAAGCAGAATGGGATCCCTCAGAGGATTAACAGAGATAAGTTTCGTTTTGGAGGCGTTAAAAGTTTTTTAAAAGCCATTCCTTGCCCTAGTTAACAACAGTTTATCATTTTTTTAAAATCAGCTGCCAATTTGACCTCATTGGACTGGTCAGAATTGCTATCGAGACAAGCGTATTATAAAATCTTATTCTTTCACTTGAGCTGATGTGTAACGCAGAGCTTTTACCTGCTTTGGAAGTTCTGGTTCGAACTGGATTTGAACACCGAGTACCACAGTTCAGCATGCAATCTGCTCCTTCCCACACCTACTGAAAGGGGTCTACTTAAACTTAAGGATTATGCTCGCGTTCCCCTAACATAATGCCCGCTCTTACTGGAAACTTTTCGCAACATGTGTCACTGTCTAAATCCCATAGATATAACGGTTCCTGTGTCCAAGTATTACGACCAAACAAGTTGGCGGAAAACTTGGAAAATGTTGCCTGCTAGAACGCAAGTATTGTATCCAGGTCAAAATCGCCATTTGTCTTGATTTTTTTTACTATTTTATTTGTCCTTTTATGAATTTCTGTTACGATACAAAGTTCTCCGTCGCTTTCATATAATACTCATGGCATTTAAACCACTATTTTTATTTCGTTCATTTAATCTAGCTTTTAGAAACTCGCTCACGAATTTGTCTTGAAACTATTCAGCCATTTTGATATTAATGCAAAAATAATAGTACATCGAGTAACAGCGTCGCACATAAGTCCGCTTCAAAAGAATGTTGCAAGATTCTACAATAATGATTCTCCCATTTTTTTTACAAGAATTTACTATTTATTTTCTTTGTTAATCAAATTCAGAAACCTTTTTCGATAATTGTTGCAGCATACCTACGAACGACAATGAGTATGTCCCAATTCACATAAATACAATAGTAAATACTGTATGTTGGTCTGCAGTCGGAGATTCGTCTCCAATTTTGCTGATCAAAATCTCTGCCACCGCGCAGAGAGGATACCCAGACGAGGCTATGTTGAAGGACAGAGTTTCGTCTCGGGAAACAGCTACCCGACCTGGTTTTATACAGGATCTGCAGGGAATTTTTGGCTGAGCATACGGTCTCGGATACTCCACATTAAATTCGGCCTTGTGCCACATCTGACCGTGTGGGTCGGTTGGTAGTCATCCTGCAGTTGGAAATTCATCTCCAGTAGTGCTGGTCAAACTCTCTGTCTCTGCCCAGAGAGGATACACAGACGAGGCTATGTCGAAGGGCAGAGTCTCGTCTTGGGAAACAGCTACCCGACCTCAAATTATACAGGTCTACGGGGAATTTTTAGCCAAGCCTACAGGTGCGTAGACCCCACATTAAATTCGGCCTTGAGGCCACATCTGACCGCGTGTATTCTTTGGTTTAGATTGGTTTGGTTTATTTTGTTTTACGGTATATCAACCTCAATGGGTTATTTAATGCCAACAACATTTTTAGGATAGATTCATATGAATAGAGTATGTATTCTTTGGTTTAGATTGGTTTGGTTTATTTTGTTTTACGGTATATCAACCTCAATGTGTTATTTAATGCTGACAAAAAAATTTATTTCTGGTAATATTTTGTTTTGTCAAAAATCTGTTTCTGGTAATATATTTCCTTCAAAATTGTATTGATGGTAATAATTTATTTAAAAAAAGTATTGTTGGTAATAGTTAACTATTTGCCCAGAACTGGTATCCTAACAGGTGCTACCACCCTGGGTCAGGGTGGACCTGGGAACACTAGCAATTAAGAGGTGGTTCCACGCTCCTCAAACCCTCCTGATCAGAGGCCTTGCTGCTGGACGTAGTTCAACGTCTTACCCAGGACGCGGATGTAGTTTAACATCTTACCCAGGACGAAATCATACTATGAGAAAGATTCTTTTTAAAAAATGATGTTTCTAAAACGTTAAGTCGTCATTCATCACTTGGTTGATTCTTAGCAATAGACAAAGTGTAACATTGTGTTTTGTAGTACAGTGAACAATAAGTTACAGATAAAGAATGAAAAAAGCCTATATATATATATTTTCAAAATACGATATATTTGTTAGGCTCTGTTGATATTCAAAGATCCCGTCAAAAAGCAATAATTAGACGGATGTGGCGGCATCTTTTCATTGATCCGTGCAGTAACGAATCAGTGATTGTCAAGAAATCGAGATTTCTTGGTAGAAAAAGTTGTTTTTTTTTTCCACCCAAAGTATCAATAGTGAACAATCGCCTCACAGATGACGAAGAGCATTGAAGCAATAGAAATGTGGTTCTACAGAAAGATGCTTGGAATATCTTGGACTGAACATGTGAGTAAATTTTATAGAAAACGAAAACAAAAA